GGGATTGCAACCCTCGGTGTTGCCCCCACGCCTCGCTCAGCCAGTGAGCGGGAACCGGTCTGTATGTGGGATCCAAACCCTCGGGCGGGAGCGCCGCCGCGCTTCCCAAGCGGCGCACTTATCCAGTGCGCCACCGGGCCGGCCCTGGAAATGTTTTTTGAAATTGAATTAAAACATCAGTTAACTGGCACCAGTCTATTCGGAGCCTTCTTTTTATGAGTTTCCCTCTACACTCATACTCCCTACCTCACTCATACCATACACACAAATGCATACTTTTGTGCATGATTTGTGCATATGTATAACAAATATTGATTAAAAGCTAACTATGTGAGGCTATGGCTATGCTAGGTGACAAAAATGCATTTGTATTAATATTTAACCTTCATGTTTATAACCATGACCCCCAAGGTTCAACAAAATCTGTAATGTTCAAAAAAAGATGATGCTTTTAGGATTTAGTCATTTCTGGTGTGACCAAAAAGGTATGCATGGACCATACAAAAGTCAACAAAAACAACACTTTTAGAAGCATTTTGTATATTTTGGTTCTGTGGCATCTGTATTTAACCAAGATTTGTATTTTACCTTGTCCTGTAAATTTCTTTACTGCACACTTGTGAATAAACATCATATCAAAATAATTATGAAAAGATGTCTTGAGGAACTACAAATCTCACCTTTAAAATTAAAACCAGAATTGTTTCTTTGTTAGATACCAGTTCCTTAGTATTGAGTTCCTCATTCTGAGTATCATGAAATTATTTACTATAAGCTTCCTAGAGGAAATCTAAATTTTCACACATAATGCATGCTTTTAACTGTATAATTGTACTTCAAAAAGTTTGTGGAAAATTACAATTAAAAAAGGTCCGGTGAATCTTTCCGTGAATTTTTTGAAGACCTCTCATATACGAAGGTACATCTAAGCGCTGAGCAATTGACTAAAAATATGAAATATTCTCTAGTTTTAAAAAAATATTAAATAGATTTCATGAGTACCTGAATAGAGCTACTTAGCATTAGTATGAATGCTTGTTTTTTTCCGTTTGTATTTACTTATTTTTATACAATAAGGACAAAATTTATAAAAGTATTATAATATTTATATGAATCAACACTGCTGTACAACGGTGGTGACACATCTGAGGCTGAAATTTTACTTGAAAGTTTTACTGCCATTCGTTGGTTCCTGTATGAAAAGAGGTTCAGGGTATTATGCTGGAAAATCACATGCCTATTTCGTGTTCAACAGCCAGTGTGACCAGGGCCAGTTACTTTTACAGTTAAAAAAAAATCTGGCATTGTTCTGTTTCCTCACTGCAAAGGTAATACATTCTAATTGAAAAAATATTGGAAATTCAGAAATCACAGGTTGTACTATTTCTTTTTATTCATTCTTTTTAATGTGCTTGTAAAGATATACATTAGTTTCTGTACTAAATTGTCTTTATATACTTATTGCTTCCAAAATTCTCCATAGTGTTCTACTTGCACTACAGATGCTGACCCATTGGAATTTTCTAGATTATTTTTGATTTGCCAGTGCCAAAGATTACTGTAATTCATTTGAATTATTTACGTGTTAATGATATTAAATCTCTATTCTGGCTTGTCATTTACTCGTTCTTTGCATATGGTAGATTTTTCAACATACATAAGTTTAGAATATTTTATGCAATCGAATCTTTATAAAACCTTCTGATCTCTATATCCTCTTATGGTCAGAAAGACCTCCGTATATTGGGATGATAATTTTTGTTTTTTGTAGCTTATATTTAACTCTTAAAATATTTGGAATTAATTTGGTCATAAGATGAGTTGATAATAAACCTTTTCTCCCTCAAAGTAGTTAACTAGTTTTTCAGAGCCAGTTATTGAATAATAATTTTCTTATTTTATTTTTAATATACTCCAGATTTTTTCCATGTATTTGATACCTTTACTAGATTAAGTAAGAGGGTTATATTCTATAATAGTGAAAGATTTAAAATTATATGGTGATTGGGAAGAGAATTTTGTATTCCTGTTTTTACATCGGATTTCTGGGGTCGAAATTTATTTAGTATGCATTTGACTATTGATTACTTTCTAAGTTGTATTCTAACAAAATAAAAATCTTTCCATTTTCGTCAGTTGACTAAAGTGTCTATTAGTATCACTTTCTACTCTGAATCCAGGTGGAATGCTAAATATGCACATCATTGAATTGATTATGTTTAAATTTATTGTTTAAATTTTTTTCCAGAGTACAGTTTTACATTATACCTATACAAATTAATTATTGTAGAATCTGACATTTTTTTCTTTCTTTTTCAAGGGAAAAATTTATACACAAACGAATATGTGGCAATTAAATTGGTAAGTTCATGTTTCTTATTTTTCCTTAATTGTGTCCTTGTTACTTCTTTAATTATTAACTTATATTTTAATTATTTTTTGTTTTTATATCATTTATAACTTGGGGGTTTATTTGAAAAGGAAAAATGATATGCATAAATGATCTTTTGTTATTAAGCTCCTAACATCATCATGTTCTTCAAGTATGTGATAATGTGTAGGATGCTGGTGGTTTTCTATGCCATGAAAATTCAATGTTTACTTTGTCAGCATTATAGAATTGAATTTTTTAATTTTGGTACTATTTTTGATTCAGGGAAGCATTTTTAATTAAATTTTTTCCACTGATATTTCATCTATACATATATATATGTCATCATATATATATATATGGCTATTGCTTGACTTTCACAGATTCAGAATGCTTGATGTGGGTGGGGGATAGCAGGCAAGCAAACTCCCATGGGACTATTCTGAAGAATTAAATGTGCCCAGTACAAAAGCTGTAAGGCAGAGATCTCTTTTGGAAGAATTGGGATCTAGGAATTATTTTTATGACATCCCTTTTTCTGGCACAACTTTTCTGTCTGGTTTGTCATCCAGATTTCCCTGAGGCTTAGCATGGCTTGGTTTTCTCAGTTTGACTGCCTTCGTCAACCGTGTCTCTGCCAGTATAACCTCTGTTATTAGGGTAATGTGAAGTTAATAAATAAAAAAGAAGCTATAGAGGAAGTGGCAAGTGAGAGGAAATAGAAGAACTTTTGAGATGAAATTGAAAAACTCTTACTACTTAATTTTAAGTATCTGTGAGTCTGTGTCTCTAGTATTTTGAAGTTCAAGTACGGTATATAGTCATGTTCTCCTTGAATTCATCCGAAAATATAAGGTCAGAAACATTTTTACATAAATTTTTGGACCATAGTTAGTTACTTAGTTCACTATTTCCATATATATATATATATATATATATTTTTTTTTTTTTTCCTTTTTGTCTTTTTTAATGTCCGGCAACGGACTGCAACCCTCAGTGTCGCACCCGTACCGGACCAGGACCGGCAACGGGATCGCGACCCTCGGTGCCGCACCCGCCCCTCGCTCAGCCAGTGAGCGGGAACCGTTCTGTATGTGGGATCTGAACCCTCGGCGGGAGCGCCACGGCATTCCCAAGCGGCGCACTGTAGCAGTGCGCCACCGGGCCAGCCCTCCATATATATTTTTTGTTTGTACCTATTGAATCTGTTTGCAACATATAACAGTATTGTTCAGAACTTGCCATAAAAGTAATCAATTGAAAATGTTGTGTTTATATACATTAAGTGCTATCTGATTTTTATACTTTGGTGCAAGTAAAGGCATTATTCGATAACATGGTGTTCAGAGAGCAGATTTTAGTGACTACTTTCAACTCTGTTATCTCTTATAAAGATTTTTATGTTTATCTAATGTTACCCTGGTTCAGATTAATAGTTTGTTTCAGGATGATTTGTTAATTTGATCTCAGTCACCACCCTCATATCTTGTTTGCACTTATGTAATAACCGATTGTCTGTGAATAATGAAAATGTCATCCTATGGTAAGGTGACTTTTGTTATATGGTGCTATAATAAAATTTTACTGCTAGTTAAGTACTGGAATCAAGTTGAAATGACTCAACTAAGTGAAATTTGGGTCTCTGTTTTTACCTGTGGGGTATTAATGATTGGATAAGTTATATATTTAATTTTACTTGTGATTGGATAAGTGGGCATCTTGTGATTGGATAAATGGGCATCTTAAGGTTATGTACTTTTAGATAGTTAACTGAAGAATTATAGGTAATACAGCACTATGTGTAAGGCACTGTTTTAAGTACTTTTATATACTATGAGAAAAGTAAGGGTTTAACCGTATTTTATAGATGACGGAACTAAAAAGTACAGAAAGGTCATCTAACTTGCTGAAAGTCACACAGCTAGTTAAGTAGTGGATTCATGATTCAAACCCAGTACAATTTAGTTTTCATTATCTGTGTGCTCTTAACTACTGTATTAGCCTGCCTCTCAAGTTCTAAGCTGATTGTTTCCTCTTAGAATGGTCTTTATAAGTTTTCCAGTGGGATTTTGATAGTTACTTACCTGAAGTCTTTGTTTTTGGTCATAGCTTCATTATGATGTATCATGGTATGAATTTCTTTTTGGATATCCTGTTTGGGATTCATATTCCTCTTGAATCTGTGGATGTTATCTTTGTCAGTTCTCGACTATTTATAACAATTATTCTTCAGTTATTGCCTCTGCTCACTTTTCTTTCTCCTCTCCTCCTGAGACTATTATCAAATGTATATTAGACCTTCTCACTGTATTGTTCAGGGTTCTAATCCTTTCTTCTATATTTTCCATTTTTTTCTTCCTTTATTATGCATTCTGTATAATTTTTCTATCAACCTTCCTGTTCCCAAATTTTCTCTTGTGTTATGTTAATCTACTGGCAAACTGAGTTTTTACTTTAGTTATTGTATTTTTTTTTTGATTTTCTAAAGTTCTATTGGTTCTTCTTGAGATTTTATTACCTTGTTATACTTTCCTTTTGATTCTTATTTAAATTTCCTATGTTACATTGTTACAGTTCTCTGTTTCCTGTAGATATTTTCACATTTAATATTATTTCTAATATCTAAAATCTATGTTGCTCTATTCACATTGTCTTAGTGTGTTTATATGTGACTGTGCATATGAATCTCAAAAACATTATGTTGAGTGATAAAAGCCAGACACTCACATATAAAGCATGTACTGTATAATGCCATTTAGATGAAATCCAACAATAGGCAAAACTAATCCAAAGGTGATAAAAGTTAAAAAGTGATTACCTCAAAAGGAGGGATGATAGAAATGTTCCATCGATTGTGTGGTGTGTGGTTGTAGGGGTATATGTAAGAACTGTGTGATTTTATTATATGTAAGGTATACATGAATTAAAAAAAAAATTAAAAGGTCATTATTGCTACTATCAAAATGTTCGTATCACTACACTATCTTGTTCTTTTTTTTCTTTTTTTTTTTTTTT